CACAATTCAGAAAGTTGCGAGCACCGTGATTTTCATATAATTTTTAATGCCCTCCATAGAGGGTATTAAAAGTGCCTCATAAAGTGAGGAGCTCAACTGGAATATGCAATAAAATGCTCTCTCTATCGCTTCTATAAGAAGCTTACAACACATCGGATCGTACATGTCTATATTCATTTATTTATTTGCAAATATATGCACATTTGCATATGTGTTGGCTTGCCATAATAAATCAAAGGATATGAAATCTATGCAAAGGATATTTAATATCATGGAATTGTGTTATATTCCACACAAATTGTTCCGTAAGGGTATTTACTCGTCGACATAGCCCATTTGGGCTCTTCTTGTGGTTGCAACATGCAAATAAATTCTACAAATGCCTGGGTATATTTATATGCAGATATATATTTTTGTTCTTCCATTGCCAGTGCAAAGTTTCTTTTAATGTTTCCTATATTATACTCTGCAAGCAAATATTTGGATATGCAAGGGAAACTGTGTAGAAGACTTATATGATTCAATCTGCTACCTTGCCAAACCTGATGAGCTTGACTAACTGATCAACTGACTGATTGATTGATTGACTGACTGATTGGTTGACTGATTGACTGACTGATTGGTTGACTTTCTGATTCACTGATTGACAAACTGACTGATCGACAGACTGACTGATTGATTGATTGAATGACTGATATCTTTACAACTGACTGACTGCTTTATAAATTGACTGACTGATTGACTGACATAATGATTGCCTGATAGGCCGAGGGACTAGCTAACTTATTGACTTAATGACTTAATGACTGAATGACTGATTGATTGAATTGACTTACTGATTCATTAATTGACCTCCTGATTCTTTAATGGACTGATTGGCTACCTGATTCACAGATTGACTGACTGATTCACTGATTGACTGACTGACTGGAGATGAACACACAGCCCAAGCCGTAAGAGCTAGGAAGCTAAAATTGCGTTATTTGATTTAAGTATAGTTTCACCCGCAAATGTGGAAAATTCACGGAAATCTGTAATCTTCATCTTCTCATCGGGATTTCTACCCCATCTGTGTGGAATATGGAGAGTCAAAGGTTATTGAAACGAAAGTATATCTCTCTATTTCAGGCTGATTTTGCAAGCTCTTTAATTAAAAAGACTGAGCAACTGTTGCAACGAGTGGGCGAAAAATTGTTATCCAACGTTTGGTGCTTCACTCGATCTAGCCATGGAACTTAATTTCAAATATCCATGCGCAGGTCTTTGATGCTTCCAGGGTATCAGCTAATCGACTACTCTCAGCTCGCGAATAGCTCCAACTATAATGTACGCTATGCCTCACGAATTGCAGTGAGAGGCGGCAGTGAGGGTATTTGCAGCAAGGGTCGCTTGTGTGGCAAGGGCAGGGAAGAGGGAAGCGCACGAGCCGCATTGAAAATGATCGCAACTAAAAATTTTGTGTTTTTATTGTTGCTTTAGAAGCGCTGTAAAATTCGCCGAAGTTGTTTTTTAATTGCAGTTGCCAGTGCCTCGCACGCCTCGGCTGCTCAAATTTGCCTAGCTGTGCCGCGTGTTGCACGTTCCACTGATTCGCGGCGTCGGCGTCGCCGTCAGCGTCAGCGTCGGCGTCGGCGTCTGTTGCAGCAGCAACATCAAAGCGCAATTTTCGCAGACATTTTTATTGCATATTATTTTCATTTCGCTGCTTGTGCCACACCCCGAAAGCTGTGCATGCAATGCGCCAGACAAACCCCCCCCCCCCCCCCCCTTTCCAACAACAGCACTGTGCCAGTGCTGTAAAGTGCACATTAACAGCAGCAAACAAACATCGCACCATCATTATGATCATCATCATCGTGAGCATCGTTACGAAGCACATCATGAAATTTATTATCTTTGGTCAATTTTGAGATTTTGTTTTTGCGAGCTTTTGCTTTGGTTTTTCCTCATCGCGTTTAATTGAAAAGTGAAATTGATTTTGCCAAGTGAAAATCGCTGTTCGTTTTCCTTGTTTTTTTTTTTTTTTTTTGTGTTTCTCTTCTTATGTTCCTCCGTTTTCTGGCATTTTCTTGTACATTCATTATTGAAATTGTATACACAAATATAAATGATTTTCTTTTATTTTTTTAATATTTGCTCTTACTTTTGTGCTCTCAGTTTGGCCAGCGAAAATCTTTGCTCATTATGTTCCTCCGACTCGCAGTTTCCATTACTTCGAGTTTCGCCTTTCTTTTGCCACCTCAACCACCTGCACCAAGCCCCCCCCCCCCTTCCCCCCTCAACCCACCTTAATTGTTGGCATTTGTGCGTCTTCTGAGTTGCCGCTTTAATTGCACGATAATTGCGCAAATGAAACATTGAAATTAACGAATTCTTCAGCATTTTATACGACTTATGCGTATTCGCTTCGAAAGAAAACCTCTTAAGTACTTGCGCTGACTTGGGGGGGTGGCAAAGTGTGGACTGCTTAAATTGTTGGAGAAAATGTTGTTAATTTCTAAAGCCAACCAGCTGAGCTCATCATACCCTGTCTTTTAACCCGCCACAGAAAAGTTTTCATTCAGATACGAATTATGTTATTAGTCTGTACGCTTAACATATTGTCACAGCTGTTAACGTCACTTTAACAGATATAATTAAGCATAGATTTAAATCATTCAGTTTCAGTAAATTCAATTGAAAAACCCTTTTTTTTTTTTTTTTTTTCTCTGTTTATTAGCTAATTTATTGATACTATACATGAGCATCTTAACCTAGCTTGACTATAATGGGATAGACATACTTAATATTACCTATTAAGTTTTATAATTATTCAATATTCATTATATTTTAGTATGATTGTTATTATTTTTATTTATTTTTTTTCAAATGATTACCCGGTTTGGGAGGTCGATGGGGTGGATTCTGCGAAGTCTCCGTCGCTTTCTTCTGAAAAGTCTTCTAGCCAATATATTGGGGTGGGCAGAAAGACGGGCCATGTAGCTGGTGGACTGCTGACGTAAGAGGTCGCCCACCAAGGGGACCTTTAGGTCTCTTGCTAGGGCCCGGTTGCGGATGTACCAGGGAGCCCCAGCACTCAGTCTGAGTACCTTCGCTTGGAAGACACTTATTTTCCTCAAGTGGGATTTTGCTGCCGTGCCGAAAATTTGGCTTGCATAGCGCCAGACTGGTGCCAGGAGGGTTTTATAAAGCAGCACCTTATTGCTCAGAGAAAGCTTGCTGCTTGCCTTAAGGAGCCAAGCCATACTTTTTAGTTTTTGACGTACGCTGTGGCATGTTGTTGCGATGTGTTTGCTCCAAGTGAGCCTGCGATCAAGGTAGACTCCCAGGTAGCGATGGCCGTCTTTATGCTCAAGAAGTTCGCCTTGGAGGAATACTCCTGGCGAGGTATCTCTCCGGATCGCGAATGTGCAGCATATCGATTTTTGCCTGTTGATGGCAATTCGCCACTTTGATGCCCACGTCTCAAACTCGTGCAGGTATTCTTGTAGTTGGTCAGTGGCTTGGTAAACACAGCTGGCTTTTGAGAGGATTGCTGTATCGTCGGCGAACGTGGCGAGGTTGAAGCTATCCGGATTCTCCAGTGTCGTCGGGTCCACCGTCGGCATGTCGGCTGTATAAACAGTGTAGAGCCACGGAGCAAGGACACTGCCCTGGGGGACTCCAGCTTGGATTTCCTTGACTGCAGAAAACGTGCCGTCGACTACCACTACAAACTTTCTAATTGAAAAACCCATCCACAGGAGCATTTAATGTAACTTTAGTCAAGCCTTAGTTTCAAATTCGAGACTTTTGCTTAAATTGTTTTTACTATTCGGTTATAAAAACATGTTATTAACATCGTCACTTTAACGCTTACTTCAAATACAATTAATTTATATAATTAGTTTGCTTTATGATTGTTCTTAAGTATGTAATAAAAATAAGAGTCTATGAGTCTATGAAAACGGTATTACTCCTGTTATTATCACTGTTAACGTAACAGTGGCAAAACTTATTTAATATACAACATATTTACCCCACAAATAACACCAAAATCCAAAATTTGAGACTTTTGTCGAACATGTTTTTACTATTCTGTTAAACATGTTATTACCAAAGTTACTTTAATTTCTGTTCTGATTGTTTTTAAGGTGAACATTCTATTTTTTCAATATTTTTCCAATTTCTCAGATTTTTCATAAAAACTTTAATTTTGTCTGTTATTATCACTGTTAACGTTACAGTAGGGTAACCGATTGAATATACAACATATTTGTACCAAAAACGAATCGAAGTAAATTAACGAATAGTTTTTGCAAGCTTTCTCAGCGGCTTTAATTTTAGAAGGAACTCGCACACCTCTATCATCGCTGTTAACGTCACATCAACATAACTTAACAGCGTACATAAGTAAACGATTGAAAATGGAATATTCTAGATATTTAAGAAGTCTTGTTAGCTTTAATCTTGCATAGCATAAAGACCTGTTACTCTCTATGTTAATGTCGGACTGTTAACGTGGCACTCGACATAAAATTGAAATGTTGACTCCCACTTTAACAAAACCCAACATTCAATTGCTCTCATATTCAACTGGCTGCTAGCCTAGCAACATAATTGCATCTTTTCTTAGCTTCATTCTGTAAACGTCACATTGATATAACGTCTATACATGAAGCTGTAGTTGTTGTTGTTATCCTTCAGGCTCGTTCCACATAGCTCACAGATTGCTGGAAATGTGTTTTCTTTTTTTCTTGCGACAATCCACTTGAAATTGACAACAACTTCAGCTGTAACTTCAACTTCAAGTGACTTTTGCAACTGTTTCTACTGCTTCCTTTTTTTTTTTTTCCTTGCAGACAATTTGCGAATAAAGTTGCAGCACAGCAGCAACTGAACGGCCAAGAATAACATAGCAGCAACAAAAACAACCACAAGAGGCAGCAACTTGCAAAGAGCCAAATTGTTGCATACTTTGGCAGTTACAACGAGCTCACGGACACACTTACGGCGGCAACATGTCGTTGTTGTCGGCGGCAACAACAGGAGCTGCAGCAGCAGCAGCAGCAGTGGCGGCAGCAAGAGCAACTCGACGCAGGGCCAGAGCACGCAGTGTTGCCAACACATTTCAATTGCTGGCAATCGCCTTTTATTGTTGCTGTCAACTCGAGCTGCTGTTGGTGCAGGCCCAGCTGCAGCCGCAGCAACAACAGCAGCAACATCAGCAGCAGCAGCAGCAGCATCAGGTGACCTCTGGCGGGCAGCAGCAGCAACTGAAATATCAGCAATTGCAATATCAAATGCAGCAGCAATATGAATATCAGCAGCAGCAACACTTTCAGCAGCAGTTCCAGCAACAACAACAACAGCAACAACAACAACAACAGCAGCAGCAGCAATTAGTGTTGCCCACAGCGGAACAGGCGTTACCGGAGCAACCCATCGATTTACTGGCCACACAACCAACCCAGGTAGGTGTTCTAAAGTATATAAATATTTGATTGAAGCAGAGTTAAAAGCGTTTGCAGCTTATTATATGAGCTGCGAGAAATGCTCAGTTACCTTTCAAGAACTTGGCTTGAATTTAAATTCAAATATGATCATCATTTTTTTTTAAATATATGATTGAAAATTGATTGAAGCTGATTGAAGTTTCTAATGAGTTTTCCAACAGCAGACTGAAGTTGATTGAAGCTGGAATGTCAATAGACTTTGATGTGTATACACAAGTATATTGATATTAACAAGTGTTGATTGACACAGCTGAAGATGAAGCCGAATAAAAATGATTGAAGACTGATGAGACTGAGATTGATGTAACCAATTAGGGTATTTAGCTTAAAAGTATTGAACTAGCTATTTTTTAAAATTTTGTTTGGTAAAAAAGTTAATCCTTGTACCTTGATTGAAGCAGATGAAAGTGTTGCTAGAAAGGCTTATAAATATATAAGTGGAAGAAAATAGATTGACTAAAGCTGATTGAACGTTGAAGTACGGTTTGATTAGCACGCATTTAGCTGGGCTCTTGGCAAATCAGAAACACATTTTGTAATAAATTACTCCAACTGAATATTAATTGCAGTCGCTTAAAGCAGTCGTTTGTAGCCCTGCGCGGCCAAGTTTGTTTGCGATTTAATAAACTCCTTTTGTAATTAATTAAGCTGGTGATACGGCTGCAACCTGGTCACCTTTACGGCTCTCGCCACACTCCACTCCGCATTTCGGGCTGCTTTGTGCCCAGTTTTTGTTCGCAGTGCTCGACAAATTGAATTTGGGTTTGCGATTTTGTAGCTGCAACTGCTTAAAGACCGAAATCTCAATGTCAATTCCACTTGACTTCATCTTCATTTCTCTGTTCGGTCTGCTCTCTGCATCAACCCAGAGTTCAATAAGCTGATTAGCCAAATGAAATCAGCAGGCAAAATAATAAAAAAAAGGCATTGCCTTCTTCTTCCTTTGTGTTTTCTTGCTGTTTTTTCAGGCCCTCAATTTGTGGCGCTTAGTGCTTAATTTGGTTTTGATAGACTTTAAGTTATATTTAATTAGAGCCAACTTTCTTGTTGGCCATCTTTTTGTGCCCGGTGCCAAAGCCAAAGCCATTTAATTTGGAAAACTTTGTGCCAACCCACAAAAATGCGGCGAATTTGCAAGTTGCTTGGCAGTCGCATTGATGACGATGACGCTTGAGTTTGAGAAGCGCAGAGGGAGGCACGGTGTAAAAGGGTGAGAAGTGTATATGCAAAGCCAAAAACATTTTATGCACTAACAGACATAACAGCTGTTAAAAAATGGCAAGCTTTTAGTGTGCTATGTTAGTCAACTGTTAATAAAAAAAAGTCACTGTTTAACATATATGTAGGTGGTTTTAAGTAACACTGTGATAAAGATAATAACATTTACAGGTTATTTTTATAAACTGTTATGAAGCTCGTTGCCTTGTTAATTGGCTGTTAATTAAAACCACAAGGCAACATATATTTCAGAGCTATGTTAAAAAGCATTAGGCTCGCGTAGGAAACATTACTTATATGGCTTTGCAGACAAGCTGGTAACAAATTTAACTTAGTACACATGTACATGGCTGTTAAAAGCCGATGGCATTGTGGTTCTATGTGGAATGTCAATTGGAATGAAACGAAAGTTATTGCAGCTGGCGTTGCATATATCGATTATATGTTCTAATTAAAGAATCATATTGAAAATATCTTTCAAATGGCTGAAAGCAAACATTTTTAGCTATTTTAGATGCACATTCGGCGCCTGCGGTGCCCGCACACACGCACACACGCACACACACACACACACACATAGGCAAAAAAAAAAAAACGCCCACCCAACGATAACCGAAGCCCCCATTCACATGGACACGTGATTCCATAAACCACTTTGTTAGAAAATTGCTTGTGTTTGATTTCATTGGCGATTGTCGATTGTCGATTGCTTTTGCTTTTTTTTTTATATTTTTTATAGCGGACTCTCGGAGTTCGACGAAATTTTATTGCACCGAAAAATATGTTTGTAGAGAATGCAAGGGATATTTGGCCAAGGCTTGACAGACATTGCACTGACTCAACGCTTTCTTGATTGCCTTCTGTCTGGCCAGCTGACAGGCTAGCCCACCAGCTGACCAGCTTCCACTGGCTTTTGGACTCCAGCGTCTATTTTCTTCTTGTTCTGTCCGTTGTCATCTGTTTTACTTTCAGCAGTATTTATTTTTTGGTATTTCTTATAACAACTTGGCTTCGTCTTAGCTATACCCTGTTTATGTTAAAGTTGCTAACTAGGGTATTATGAAGTCGGCTAAGGCACTGAGATATTTAACTTTAAATAATTTTACAGGGTATATTATTGTCAGTTTTTGCAAATGGGTATAGTTCAGGCAAAAGACACTACTTATGAGCACAAACAGTATATGTATGTATATATGTATATGTATATGTAGAAGAGATATTTAATATGGATATATTTGCATCGAAATCGATAAATATCGATATCCAATTCCTATTTGTTGAGCTTATCGAAGAGTGTTAAAGAGCTAAGTATATTTGTCACATATTTTTATCGAAGAGGTTCTTATATCACAGTTTACTTTACTTATATTATGACTTTCTTCCCTAATAGAAATACAGGGTATCCGCTAGGTCGAGCAATCCCAGCTGACTATTCTTAACAGGTCAGACCCTTATTATAGTTTCATTTGCAGGATATCTTTTCGTCAGCTTGCTGTGCTTTATTATAATAAAGAATGATTGAAAAAAGATTCCCTGTAAAATGAAAGTTAAAAGTGTTTTAAAGTTCATTTTTATGCTTGAATGCGTCTTTAATCGTTTTGCGCCTTGTTAGCATCATTTCACAGGGTATCCACAAGTCGAGCACATGCTGCCGTCATATTTTTAAGTGTTTTACTCTTTTTCTTGCAATAAAATAAAATCCACACCGAATCGGGAGCGCCATGTGGCATAGCATAGCTTGGACCCAGCCAAATGCCCTGCGGCGACATGCAACGGACATGGAACACACACACACACACACACACACATACGCAGCCAAAAAACTATAAAGCAAAACTCCTTTCATATATATAACCCATGCGTGTGTGGGCGTGTGCGTTTGGGCCACAACGAAAGCTGCTGCATTTTATTTAACCATTTCGTCCCATGGCAAATTTATGAATTTCGACTCGTTGCCGCCGCTGGCCGCACATATGCGGTTTTTATATATTGACACTTAAAATTTATGGCTCTTAAAATCTACAAAACGCTGGCGCTACGAACGAACCCATGGCCCCGTCCAGGGACGGAGCAGAGGCTCTGCTAACATTGCGTTTCATTTTATTTCGTTTCGTTTTGTTTCATTTGGTTTGGCTCAGTTCCGTTTAGCTCCCCCACGACCCCCAGTCCCTTCACCCGCCTTTTGGGAAAAACCGAAATTGTTTTGTTGTGCAAACTATGAAAAGTCAGCGACAGCGCTGTAAGCTGACAAAAACTGAGCAGCAAATCGAGCGGAAAATTGTTAGGGTTGCCACCAGCCCGGCATATATGCATAAATATATATATATATATATATATATGCATAAGCTCATATTAGCGTTAAGTTTAAAAGTGTCGCTGTTAAAGTCAATGCTAAGTCCCTATGCTCTGTGGCGGGCTTAAAGAGTTTACAGAATTGACAGCTCGTAGTAACATGAGCGGGTAGCTTTACAGAATGTAACACATAACAGCGTCAGCTTAAAAGCTATGTTTCATAACTAATAATTCCATTTTAATGTTAATCACATAACAGCGATTAACTTGATTTACAAATGTTAGCTTGACTGCTTACTCAGCAATAAAAGTGTGTACTGGAAATTGTAACTTTTTTAAATTTAGACAAACAATTCTGCTAGTGACTACAATGTCAGCTATGTTCATATTGTGGGTAACGCAATCATAAGACTATTTGCTTAAATAACAGTTAAATGTTAAGTTATATTCTTCCAAGGTTTCTGTTAACATTGCTGGAGTGTCACTTGACAGAATGTGGCAACTCTTACTGTTATTTTTGTGCATTGAGTGTAAGGTTAACATAGAGCGGTTAACAGTAATATGTTAGTTGACAATCAGCTATCCCTAATTAACATTTAGCTGCTCTTTGTGCTAACATATCTGAATTGAAATGTTACCTAACATTCAGCTGCTGTTTACTTCAACAGAACAAGCAGTTACTTTCATATTCCGTTGAGTTAACAGAATATGAAGGAATTTCTTTAAAATAAAAGCTTAATATCCAACTTAAGTTAATAACTACATAAGAATAATAAAAATAACAGAATGCAGGTATGTCATGTTTTGTTAACAGATAAATAAGCAAAGATCTCTTAGGGGCGATTAGTACAGACACGAGTAATTCCAGGTTAATGGTCTATTCAAAATAGATTTTAAATATAATAAATATCTGCACACAAAAAATTATAGATTTCATGACTGAAACTCATATCTTAATGCCTCAACGCGCGCTTGAAAGGAAGAGTGAATCTAAAAGAGAAAGGGGGAGTGGCAAGTAGACGGAGAGTGGGCGCAAGAGACAGAGAGAGAGAGAGAGCGAGAGAGAGAGAGAGTGGGAAAGAGATTGAGCCAGTTGAGTTGCTGTGTGTCAGCGTCAAAGCTGAAAATCGCTTAAGATTAATGATGCAAAAAATTGAGCATCATCAAAGAAAGTGAAAATGGAATTAGGTGCAAAGGCGCCGAGAGGACGCATCCACAACAGCAACGAAGAAGAAGACAGCGCCTAAAAGCCGCATATAGAGAGCGGAATAGACAGCTAGATGTGGACCGGCGGGAGGGGGGAGGGGCGGTAGATGAGCGCAATACGTGCAGCACGCAAAGCGGAAGAAAATGGCGGCATAAAACTTAACTACAATAAGCGCCAGCTTCAAGCCAAGCCAAGCCAAAACGGGCTGGCAACTAGAAAATGACAACAACAATGTAAACAC